ATAAGTTAAGCTGCAAAAATTAGTTTGAGATATTTATTTTAAGTATGTAATTGTCTAAAATAGTGCATTTAATTCAAATATTTTAATATTGGTTAGTTAAAATACCTCGTGGAACTAGTTTAACAGACCATGAACAAGGGGTCATAACAGGTATGCTTGATAGCGGTGCGAATATCAACGAAATCGCAAAAAAATTAAATCGGCACCGGAACTGCATATCTAGTTATTTAAAAAATCCAACTAAATATGGAACAATTCGATGAAGTGGGCGGAAAACCAACATCGATTTGCGTTGCAAACGGCAAATTCAACGACTTGCTGTGGTTGATTTGATGAGTAGCGGACAAATTTAAGCTCATATGGGCCTCCAAATAACCAACCGTCGCATTGTGCAAATAATTCAAGAAAATCTTTTAGTGAAATATACCTCCATGGGGCCTAAACCCAAGCTTTTGCAGCGACACATGAGGCTCGAATGGAGTTTGCAAATAAGTGCCGTGTTTGATGCGAAGAATGGCATAACGTCATTTTTAGTGATGAAAAGAAGTTAAATTTAAATGGCCCTGATAGTTGCAAAAGATATTGGAGAGATATGCGCCAAGGTCGGAGATCCTGTTTTAAGCGAGGGTTTGGCGGTGGCAGTGTGATGGTAAGGGCTGCGTTCTGCTATGGGGGCAAGTCATCTATGTGCTACATCTCTACAAGAACGAATGCTCAAGTGTATGTAGATCTCCTTGACAGTGAATTAATAGAGTTTGGTGGCAATTTGTATGGCGACGATTGGACTTTTCAACACGGCAATGCATCAATACACGCATCTCAGGTCACCAAATCCTTCTTTACAGAGCAAAAAATACCTGTATTGGACTGGTCCACCTTAAGTCCGGACTTAAATCCGATTGAAAACCTTGGGGTATCCTCTCAGCCAGAGTGTTCAAGAACGGTAGACAGTTTGACACAGCAAGAAACCTTAAAAAGGCAATAGACCAAGAATGGGCCAATATTGATCCAGCCCACCTTAAATCTTTGGTGGATTCCATGCCGTTCCGACTTAATTCAGTAATATTGAATAATGGTAACAATACTGAATATTAAAATCCTCTATAAATAATAATTAATAATATTCAAAATTAGAAAAATCAAATATGCACATATAAATATTTAGTACGAAGACTATGTTTGATTTAAGTTCCTTATTACATATTATTGAAATTTGTGACAACTTTATGTTTTTATTTCGTAAACTTTATTTGTAAATAAAACTGCATACCCAAAATTTCGATAACAGCTTTTGTACTTTTTTAATCAATAAAAACATGATGCACATATAATTATTCGTGTGAGGTATCTCAGCGATAGGATAATATTAGGTTCATTACTGTTGTAATTTCAGATATTCAGATGATAAGTATTATACTACTTCTCCGGTTTGTAATATAGAGTTTACACTACACCATATGACTGACTTACTTAGCAGGCAAGATTGTTCTAATTGTAGTTCTAACGTGGTACTACCAAAAAAACCGGCAAGTTTCATTTCATAGTACCCAAAACTTAGCATCGCCTAAAGAGTACATATATTTAAGATTTCGAGTTAGTTTGTTTTAAAAACTACAAACAACATTCATTTAAATATATCCGAAAAGAATGTATAACCTCTTTAAGATAAAGAAATATTAAAACTAGCATGAGGCGGTTGCTGAGATACCCTTGACCCCACGACAGTCGGGTCTACGAAAACCTTAACGGACCCGGATTTTTATCCGGCCAAGTATTGTCAACTCGGCAGAATTCTGCCGATACAACAACAACAACAACATACCCTTGAAAACATGTATGAATGACTATCGAGAAATAACTCAACTTTCGAAGTCATGTGTAACAAAGGATCTTAAAGAGCAATAAGATTTGACACAATTAATACGGTGAAACAGTACCTTAAGTGCTTGTATTTTAATCTGAAAATTTCTTAATATGAAAAGTATATATACGGGTATTTTTTTGCTATTTCAATTATTATTATTATTATTTTTTATTTATAATGATATAATAACGAATACTTAAACTACTAAGTTGTCAGATGGATTTCATAGTCAGAAAAATCAGCACTTACCGATGTTGTTCAACGGTTCTCCCCAGAGTTTCCACGCTCTAGTCGCTAATTTGAGAGACAGATTGTAGTAACACAACTTTACCTGTAACTCCTCAGAAGTAGAGAGTTTCAATGAAAGCTAGACTCGAACGAGATGCCACAGCGGAATATTCGCTTAAGCCAAAGTCTCTAGTCTAGCTCCCTTCCACATATCTTACCCTAGGCACCGCTTACTTATACTTTTGGATAGATAGTCTGGACCCGCACTCTTATACCTAGAAGGTAGTCCGAGATGATAACGGATATAAGTACCACGACCCGCTTCCACTCCTCTTTGGAAATGGTCATATCTTCCTTACTACAATTACACACCCCTAGTAAGCACAGTCAGCTTGTTTAGCGATCTTACTGAACATTAGCGCCGTATGGTGGGGAAATGTACCTCGGTAAGAAGCCTCGCTTGAGGACCGAGGTACATTTCCCCACTATACGGCCTCTGCTGCTTAACTATAAATTGGCTATCCCCAGACTGTCTGCTACCGTACTGTGCTTTTATTTTTGCTGCCATGTTTGTGTTTAACATAATTGCTGCCGTCTCCTTCTTTGTACCGGGGCTTTTAACACTGCCTGTGGTCCGGGAATCTTTAATGAACCTGTTTTTTTTTTTTCTTTTTTCAATTTTCATAACTATTGTTTCACTCAGAGCTGTTATCCAATTTTCGAGAGAGAACTTATTAAGAGGCAAAGGCTGAACCAACCCTTTATGAGAAAATCACGGCAAACTCAGGTGACGTAGTGCTCAGGTTTCAATCCAAACAAACTTCTGTCCTTCAATCATAGTCCGAGTCGAATCCAAGGTACAGGTCTTTTCCAAAGCCATTGTTGTATGCATTCATATATGGGTTCAATAATGCTGAAAGAAATTTTAAAATAATCATTCCAACACAACTTTCTAAAAGTATCAACTGAAAATAAAGTTTTTCTAAACATTGCTATTACTTTTTCTGTGTTCCAAACCAGCTCTTAACCAGCACATAAATAAAATAATATATTTTCATCACATCTGAACTACCGTTATCAAGGGGTTAGCCCTGCTCACAGATAAGAAAAATTATACTTAAACAAAAAACAAAATAAACAGCGCCTCAACTGAACACTCTGGTACAATTATATATACCTAATCCAATAAAGGCAACCCTGAAGTAACTTTACGTATTTAAAATTCAACCCAACGCCCAGCAGACGGAGCAACAAATTAACGCAGAGGTAATTAAAGAAAAACTTAACAACAATAAAAAGCATATCGAATTTATATTAAAGAGGAGAAGCAGTAGAGATTATACTTTAAGTTTGGCGAAATGTTGAGCACTCTAGAGAGAAGACGGTGCGGGCAGTTAATCGGAAAAGTTTTCAACTCCAGGCAACTGCCAACGAAAGACGCAAAATGGCATTGGAATACAAAACACGCGCTAACACAAAAAACTCTGACAAGCAGGTGGACAGCCAAAAGTTGTTGGAGTTGTTTAGAGCAGTAGACGGGTGGACAGGTGGTCCCGTGCGGTATCAAGCTGTTATTATCACCCAGCTGAGTAATTGAACCACATAATTCAACGAGGTATATGAAATTTGGTAATGAGTGCAAAAAGTGCAACAAAAAGAGCGTGCGTACTTCAAGCAAATAAAAGTGAAGGCAACGCCCGGCAAATTGCCTGGTGTAAATAAAAATATAATGCAAGTGAAAGTAAGGCAAAATAAGAAATACTTTATGACTCCGCTTTTTCATCATTTTGCCTTTAACCGTTATGAAAATTTTGTGCTTTTTCGCTCTCTCATATTATATTTCCAGAAATCGTGTGAACCAGCTGTAACTGATGACTGTTTGTGCAAGTAAATGCAAACAAAATCTATTGTTCTTTTAAAGCCTTGCAAGGGTGGCGGTAATTAAATAAATACAAGCAACGCAGAGCGCATGTTGGTGGAACTTTCGAATTTTCACATTACATGAGATTTTGCCAAAAAGTGGGTAGCGCCATGGTTTTGAACCGATTCGTATGCAAACAATTGTACTAACTGAGTTGGAGAGGGGCTTCCAATACTGCCAGCCGGTTCATGATTTTAGGTGGGCATAGTGCTAAAGACGAACTTCTTAATCGACTCGGGTTAAATTGAGAATGCGACCGAAAAAGAAAGATCTATAAGGAATTAGATAAAACGTTTTTATTCCCCAGTAGTGAAAAATCGACCAATAGTTCTGTGATTAACAGTTCCAATGGCGAAATTTATATATCCACCGACGAATCATGCGCTGAATTAGGAACAGAAGCGGGCATCCTCTGAAGTAATCCATATGCCAAAAGTAGCTTCAGACTAAATTTCGTCAATTAAATCATTCAGGCCGAAATTTTGTCATAACAGCATGTGCCACGCGAGCTTCTTCTCTAACTAGGTTTTGCAAGCAGATAATAACTGGACTCTCAGTAGGTAACTCGGTTAGTATAATGTGGGTACCCTGTTATATAGGAATAGAAGGAAACTAAAAGACAGACCAGCTGGCCTGCCTGTGAACGCAATTTACTTAAGACTATGGAACTTTGATTTTGTCTCATTAGAATTAATAGACAATCCATGGCTCACGTAGTCGTACACAATGGGGGTTTTGCGATTTCCTGGCCTCCACTCTAGATAAATAATGTTTGAATAAGCTATGGTCCACAAATTTGTAGAAGATATAGTACCTTGGAAAATTACAACCCGCAAAAGAGCCCTCTCTTTAAAACACAATTGGAATAATATTACTAATGTCTATACCAAACATACTCTAAAAATTATTTGATCTATGATTGCATTAACAAACAAGATTTTTTGTTGCTATTTAACTATTAACTATTTAATATATAGATGCGAAACCACTAATACTTCTTTGAAAAAACTTTACTTAAAATAATTATACTAGTAAATTCTAGATGAATGTGAGGTTACGTCGATCTTGGGGCAAATAAACTGAACTGTGGAAGCTGCAACGGTAAAATATTTGTTTGCGCGGGCATGAGGCTAGGTTGCGGTAAAATGTTTGATTGTATCGGCATCATAATCGGTGCGGAAGCAAAGGAAAATGGTGCAGTTTGTTGTGACGGTGAAAGAATTGATTGAAGTCCACCATTCTGGCTTTGAGAGGCCAAAGGAATAGGAACAAAATATGGGAATGGCTGGAAAGGCATATAAGGCATACATGGATAGTATGGAGGACAGTTCTGTTGAGTAGTTGGCGCCTTAGGTAAGGAATGTGGTGTCAACGCCGGAAAGTGCCGAAAATTACGTGCTGGTGGTGGGCATATGGGAGAAATTGGAGGGGGGGTATAAGGTATAATTGGCGGCAATGTTGTAACTTTAACTGGACACATTGTTGTTGGTACAGTCGTTGAATCTGTTGGTGACTCAGTCGTTGGTACTATAGTTGTGGGAGGCTGTGTTGTTGGTACAGTCGTTGAATCTGTTGGTGACTCAGTCGTTGGTGCTACAGTTGTGGGAGGTTGTGTTGTTGGTACAGTCGTTGGTGCTAAAGTTGTTGTGGGCTGTATTGTTGGCACAGTCGTTGGTGCTAAAGTTGACGTAGGCTGAGTGGTTGATGCAGTCGTTGAATATGTTGGTGACTCAGTCGTTGGTACCACAGTTGTGGGAGGCTGTGTTGTTGGTACAGTCGTTGGTGCACAAGTTGTTGTGGAC